AGGTTAAAAGCAAAGCATCCAGCCAGTCCCACATTCCGCCCAGCCAGCGTCCTGCCGGCAATACCACTCTACCTTGCAGATTGCCTGTCAGTCAGGCTTTGGTGTTATTGAAAGATCAAACTTGGTCCTGCCTGTTCATTACCTTAATCCTGTTTTCTACATGGCTTTATTATCTGCTTGGGCTTCTTTAGGAAAGACAGCTCCAGAGTTGTCCTGACCATCCGTTTCCTCCCACCAGGGGACCTCCTCACCCCCGGCCCTGCTCAGTTCTCCAAGCTGTGCACAGTCCTGGATCCAGGACAGATGTTTGCACAAGGTCTGGTTCTTTCCCTGGGTGATGAGGGCAGTCTGGGGCTAGAGAGGGACAATGCCATACGACACCTAGGGTGGCCCTGTCACATGCAGAGCCCAGAAGCTGGCCAGAGAACACAGTGACGGTAACTCGTTTGGTTCCAGCGCAACCCAAGGCCTTAGTTGTCTTGTGCCCATTCTCATTTGGGTTCATTTTGAATTCAGGAAAGTGTTAGTGTTTGGGGTTGACAAGGTCTAGGGATTTCATAGCATGGCATTCAAAGAGCTAGTCCTTTAGAGCTCCATCCTGATCCTAAGTCCCTCCAAGGCAACCACAGGCAGCTAACCTTGTTTGTTTGTTTGTTTGTTTTGTTGAGACAGGGACTCTCTATGTAGCCCTGGCTGTCCTGGAACTTACAATATAAACCAGGCTGGCCTCAACCTCAGAGATCTACCGGCCTCAACCTCCCAAATGCAGGGATTAAAAGACATGCAACACCATGCCCACAGATCATCTAACCTTTGAGATTCTGCTAAGCCATGGTGGTGTAGCCATCCCACCCTCCCTGTGCTGGGCCGAGGGGATGGTACATGAGCCCCAACTGTATAACTAACTGGAGTGAACTGCTGGCACAAACGCTCATCCCTGGACCAGAGCCGCACTGGCAAAACCCTTCTGTGCTGTGAGCCCGGCAGTTTCCTCTCTCACTACTGGTGGTGGCTACAGGTTTCCTGGGGCTTGAGAGGTCAGGTCTCCACAAACTGTTCAGTACTGTGGGAGATGGCAAAGGATGCAGGTGTCGGCAGTGGGGGCATTTTTCATAGTTATTTAATCATAACTACTTCTGGTAGTCGGGAACAATGGGTTCCCATTTTTCAGTCCCCAATGTAGAAAGCAAAGTCTAGAGAGGCCCAAGATGAAGCTGGTTCTGGAGTAGAAGCATGTCAGGCCACACAGCCAGGCCCCCCTCAGCTCCTACTGTTTCCAGCACATAGCCCCATGAGAGAGGACTCTTCCTGCCTCACCCTTAATCTCAAGGGGGAAGGACTGGGGTCAATCTACAGAATAAATTCATGAGAATAAATTCTACAATGTGCAAGATGCCAACAGCCTCAGGCTATGAGACCACAGGAGCCCTAGAAGTTTTAGCTAAGCTGGCAATGGGTGGCCAGGCGGGCAGTGGTGGCGCATGCCTTTAGTCCCAGCACTCGGGAGGCAGAGCCAGGAGGATCTCTGTGAGTTCAAGGCCAGCCTGGTCTACAGAGCAAGATCCAGGAAAGATGCAAAGCTACACAGAGAAACCCTGTCTGGAAACAACAACAGCAACAAGCTGGCAATGGGTGATGTAACCACCGACTGCATTAACCAAAGTAAATAGATTTGTGTGTGTGTTGGTGTTTCCCCTGCTTTTATGTCTGTGTACCACATGCATAGCTGATGTCTTCAGAAGCCGGAAGAGGGGTCAGATCCCCTGGAATTGGAATAACAGATGGTTGGGAGCCACCACGTGGGTACTGGGAATTGAACCCAGATCCTTTGGAAAAGCAGCCAGTGCTCTTAACTACTGAGCCATCATCTCTCCAGCCCCACAAAAGTAGATCTAAAGTAGGAAGGTGAGACCCACCTCACTCGAGACCACACTTGGATTGGTGAGTGCTCAGAGGTAAAAATGGTCCTGAAAGCAGCGTGAGGCCAACTCCGTAGGCACCACTGCTTATGTCCTCTCCTGTTAACCAAGCCCCAGTTCTGAGACCTGCCTTTCTCTCTACCAATACCAATATGCTTCTAGGGCCTTCTTTTTCCCAGGCCACCATTTCAGCTCCTCAAAGCTAGCCAGAAAGCAAACATAGTTCAGGGAGATTCTGAGCATCCTATACCTGTGCTCAGATCATCAGAATGTAGAAGAAAATATGTCCAGTTGAGCATTTTGTGTTGAGAAGTCACCTGGAGAGACTAGCTGTGGGCATATGCTCCAGAAAGGAGGCATGTGGCTTCTCCCTTCCTCCCTAGGGAGAAGGAGAGACAGAGCTGGAGCAACTGAAGGAAGAGACAGCCAAGCACCAGCCTCCCTCTGGCCATCCAGGCTAGCTGAAGAGTCTCAGAAATGACACAGATGATGCAGGGAAAATCAGTCACTGGATCAGATGTTAAGTCTGAGGGCTGGAGAGAGTTCAGTAATTAAGAAGACTGGCTGCTCTTCCAGAGAACCCAGATTCTGTTCCCAGCAGCCACACAGCAGCTCACAATTGTCTGTAACTCCAGTTCCAGGGGACCTGACACCCTCTTGTGGCCTCTAGACAAAGACAAACACATGTAGACCAAACACGTACTCATAAATATTTAAAATTTGTTCTGCAGAAGACAGTAAATGAAAAGGACAAAAAGACAAGGTCCACAAGTCCTGTGCTCATTGCTTGAGTTGGCTGTTTGAAACCTGGGACTTATGCAGGGACACTTGGCTCAGTCTGGGAGGAAGGGACTGGACCTGCCTGGACTGAGTCTACCAGGTTGATCGCAGTCCTCGGGGGAGGATTTGCCCTGGAGGAGGTGGGAATAGGGGGTAGGCTGGGGGTAAGGGGAGGGGCGGGGAGAATAGGGGAACCCGTGGCTGATATGTAGAACTGAATGGTATTGTAAAATAAAATTTAAAAAAATAAATAAATAAAATAGAAAAAAAAGACAAGGTTCAGATTAGGAGAAGACATTTGTCAATTTGACAATATTTGTAATATTTGACAAAGGACTAATGTCTAGTCTATATAAAGCTCAAAGTTCAACAGTAGAAAAGCAATGTAATAGACCATGGACATGAGCTAGCATTCTGTAAACACGATATATAGATGGCAGATGAGCATATGAACACATGTTCAACATCATTAGCTATCAGAGAAAACCAAATTAAAATCATAGCATCACACTTACTAGAACAGCAAAATAAAAACAGTGGCAATAACAAAACACTGGTCAAGATGTAGAGAAAACCAGATTACCTTGAACCCTGCTGGTAGAAATGCAAAATGATAAAGATGTCTGAAAAAAGTCTGGTAAGTGAAAAAGCTAAACAGACACTTATTAAAACAATCCAAGCAACTGACATGCTGGGCATTCACCCCAGAGAAATGAAAATGTATGCCCACATAAAAACTATTCATAAATGGTCACAGTAACTTTATTTGCAGTACTCAAAATTTGAAAACAACTCACATGTCCCTTAATGGGTGAATGTTCTTCAAAAGGGAAAGAAACTTTGGTGCATCTAAACATGGACTACTATACTACTCAGTAGTAAAAAAGGAATGAGATACTGATATGTACGACATGTCTATAGGTCTCATAGCAATACGCTGAGTTTTCTTAAAAAACAAAACAAAGAACAACAAAAATAACACTTTGTTGTTTGTTTTGTTTTGTTTTTTGAGGCAGAGTCTCACTGTGTAACCTTGGCAGGCTGGCCTTGAACCCATAAAGATCTGCCTGCCTCTGCCTCTCTAGTACTGGGATTAAAGGTATGTGCCACCGTGCCTGAGATTAAAAAGCTATTCTTAAAAGGTAACCCCCTAGGGGATGGAGAGATAGCCCAGCGGTTGAGAGCACTAATTGTTCTTCTAGAGGACCCTGGTTCAATTCCCAGTACCCACATGGCAGCTCACAACTGTCTGTAACTCCAGTTCTAGGGGATCTGATACCTTCTTCTAGATTCTGCAGGTACTGTATGCACTTGCTGCACAGACATGCATGCAGGAAAAACACCCATACACATAAGTTTTTTAAGAAGGTAACATATGGTTCCATTTATATCATATCTTCAAAATAACAAACTTAGAGGCAGCGAGCACCTAAGTGGTTGCAGGAGTTAGAGGTCAGCAGGCACAACTCTGAAGGGTGTGTGAAGAGGAACCATATCCTGACCATGGTAGTAGGTACACTGGTCAGAAGAAAGGCTTATGAAATGTACCAATGTCAGTTTCCTGCTTTTGACATACTATTTATATAAGATGTTATACAAGTACCCTCTGTTCTATTTTGTAACTTCTAATGAATATAGAATTATTTCAAAATAAAAGTTTTTGGTTAAAAAAAAATAACAAAACTAAGCCAGCAGTGGTGGCACACACTTTTAATCCCAGCATTCAGGAGGCAGGTGGACCTCTGTGAGTTCGAGGCCAGCCTGGTCTACAGAGTGAGTTCCAAGACAGGCAAAGCTCCACAGAGAAACCCTGTCTTGGGAAAAAAAAAAAGACAAAAAACAAAACAGCAGACAATCAATGAGAATGTGTTAAGTTTGCCAACTGGAGCACTGTGAGGAAAACCTGGTCGTGATTTAATTGTCCTATACAACTATTTTTATAGGTTCTGTAGGCCACCTTTGAAAATTTTGACGTTATAAAACCCCCCTCTGAAGACAGATTGCACAGTCAGACCCTCTTCGGAAGCTATATGAAATCCAAGTAGTTACCATCAACTCTACATGAAATCACTCACCTGGTACAGGCATTCCAACTGTCCCTCAAGCTAACCTCAAATGACTCCCAAGAAAGGCGCTGCTGCTGCCAGTGGGTGGCTGGGTGTGGTTTCTCCCTGGCCTCCTCCAGTGTGGTACCACCTTGGGGCTAACTGGGGCAGGGCTGGTGAGCTAGCTCTTGGTTTGTCTCCCAGCTGCCCTAGCCCGGCCCCACTGAATGCCACTGTGGATTTAGGAATGGCTTACCTGTTGAGGTCCCAGATTCTCAGAGGTGAGAAGTGCCCACAACAAGCTGTTCCTGTCACAAAAGAGCTGCCAAACAAAAGGAGAACCAGTTAGAGCTGGCTTGTCAGAACTTGTGGCGGAAATGGCTACACATTAGAAATGCAGGGCTCTTTTCCCAGGGATCATGGGGTTAAGCCAGAAAAAGAAACACTGAGAGAGAATGAGGAAGTGCCACAGAAGTCTGGAAAAGACAACTTGGTAGGTGTGTGGAGAGGGGTGCAACCTCCCAAGTCTGACTAGGGCCCTCCAGGTTCAACCACAGATGAGCTTGCTGTTTGGACTGGGCCACAGTAGCAGCAGACCTCTGGAAGGGCAGTTCTGAGCCCAAGGCAGTGAATGAGCTTATTAAAGATAGAACTGTAGGAGACTTGAGAGAGCTCAGTGCCATAAGGTCTCCTGGGAACATCCTACTGGGACTGACAAGTGGTACCCCGATCAACTGGAGACATTCCAGAAGGGTTTAAGACTTGGGAAAGTGGCTGGCTGGGTGACTGGGTAGCTGGCCCCTAGCGTCCTCTTCCTCTCTCATTCCTTGATCACCACCAGGCGTGGTGGCTCCCATAATCCCAGCACTCGGGAGGCAGAGGCAGACAGATCTAAGTTCAAGGCCAGAACTCAGGCTGATCTACAGAGAGAAACCCTGTCTGTCTGTCTGTCTGTCTGTCTCTCTCTCTCTCTCTCTCTCTCTCTCTCTCTCACACACACACACACACACACACACACCACGCCCAAATAATTGGAAGACTCTGGAAAAGTTTTACAAACACAGGGCAAATAGGAAAAGTGAGTACATCCCCAATGAGTATATTGTAGCTTTCAGGGAGCAGGAACAAGTAGCCAGGACTGCCAGGGAACGAGCTAGGAGTCAGGAGGAGTCTCTAAGGGCACTGTAACACTCACTGGCGACAGGCAGATGAGAAGGAAGACACTATCTGCAGTCTCCGAGCACTCAGCATAGGCAGTCTGCATGGTTTCATGCAGTGGAGACAGGAGCACCGTGGGAAGAAGGGGCGGTGTAATGAGCCACTGTACTAGGACAGTGAGAAGGGGAACATCTGAGCTGGAGCAGACCTTTGGCGGATCACTGGACACCGGTGGGAGAGGAAGCCTTAAGAAACCTAAAGTTGCCAGGCAGTGATGGCACACACCTTTAATCTCAGCACTCTGGTAGGTACAAGTAGGCAGATCCTTGTGAGTTCAAGGCCAGCCTGGTCTACAGAGCAAGTTCCAGGACAGCTAAGGCTTCACAGAGAAACCCTGTCTTGAAAAACAAAACAAATGTTGTGGAATATTAATTTAAGATGTGTTACATTCATTTATGCTGTGGAATATTTGTTTAATGATGCAAAGATGTGTTGCATTCTTTTATGTTGCATTTCTTTAACTCTGTGAAGCTGTGTTACTGTGCCTGTCTAAAACACCTGACTGGTCTAATAAAGAGCTGAACAGCCAATAGCCAGGCAGGAGAAAGGATAGGCGGGGCTGGCAGGCAGAGAATAAATAAGAGGAGAAATGTGGACAAAAGATCAAGGAATGAGAGAGGAAGAGGACACTAGGGGCCAGCCACTCAGTCACCCAGCCAGCCACAGAGTAAGAGTGAAGTAAGATATACAGAGGAAGAGAAAGGTAAAAGCCCAGAGACAAGAAAAGCTGGCTAGAAGTAAGTCAAGCTAAGGCTAGGCATTCATAAGTAATAAGTCTCTGTGTATATTTATTTGGGAGCTAGGTGGCGGGCACCCCAAAAAGAATAAGAAAGGTGAAACAACCAACTACAAACAAACAAACAAAAGACACCTCATGTCAATCAGTAAGAGTAAAAGCACTGGCTGGGGCAGGGGTGGGCAGGTCCCTACATGTTCTGCACATGTCGGGGAAGGAAGACTGCACACACTAATGATATGCTAACAGTGTGGGCGAGCAGCCCATTGGCCTCCACTGCCCAGCACCCGCGCTTTCTGTACCCAACCTGTCAGCGGGAGGTGGAGTTCTACAGAGAAAGTTCTGGAAAAGGCGGTGGCTTGGGCAGTGCCGCAGGGGAGGAGCTAGCTCCAGCTGCTGCTGGGGTCAATGTCCAGGCAGGCGCTGGCCAAGCTTACTATCAAAACGGTGGACTAGTGCCCACCTGTCATCTCCGACTGGACAAGGCCGAATAAGAGACCCTGGGGCTCTCAAGCCTCAAGCCAAGGTTTCCTCCAGGAACAGGGTAGCACCCCAACTTCCTCCTGATCTGCAGTACTGCCAGCAGCCATTCTACTGTAAAGTGGTGGTGCCACACAGCCTCTCCTGCCATGCCCCAAGTGATTCCTAGCCTGGGCAGCAGCCACTGGACACCAAGGAACCAAACTACAGAGTCAGGAGGTGTTACCCTCGCCTTGCTCCGCCCGCATTTTCTCTTTAGGGTAACCCATTAATAACTGGTAAAGCCAATTACCTTGGCTTGGAAACATAATAGCTACTTGGAAATCATTGGAGCAGGCAATTGGGCTCTCCAGACTTTTGAGGAGTTGGGGCCAGGTGAAGGGCGCCAGCACAGACACAGACATCTCTTAAGGAAGTCTCTCTAGGCCTCTTGCCCACAGGCCTAAATTAGCTTCAAGGTGAATCAATAGAGAGAGGTGGGGGAGGAGCCTGGAAGTTAATCCCTGCCACTCCTGCAGCCCTGACCTCCCAGCAGGTGGGGTAGGGGCAGGGGCGAAGGGGGGGGAGATGCAAACCCTTCCCAAGGGACTCCTGTCCTCTGCCTGGCCCATTCACTCCTGGCCCTGACCATCTGCCACCAAGAAGAGGGCCCCTCACCTCTTTAACTGTCTATAAAAGACACCTATAAACGTCTCTTCCCAAAAGCTCTCCTTCCCTTAGCCTCGTGCAGTGAAGCTCCAGTGTCTCTCTGCCCTTAGGAGGGCCTGAGAGTTTAGTCACATAAACACCATGTGAGACTGCAGACAGCTTCATCGGCTGGAGGACTTGCCCAATCCAAGGGACTGCCTGGGTGTCCAGGAATCAAGCTAGCCACAGATACAGTGGTCCCTCGCTCCTGGAGCTCCTCCCCACTGCTGTGAGACTCTGCTTCCTGCCTGTCCTCTCCCAAGCCTATGGTTGTTAGGAAGAACGTGGCGAAAGCAGACCAGCCCCGTATGAAGGCAGATGAGCTGGTAACAGATGAGCCTGGCCAGTCCAGACAGGGCTGCCAGTACTCAGCACCTTCCCAGCACCGTCTAGGTAGAATGCTCCCAACGGGCAGTGGGGTTGGTTATGCCTACTGGCAGCTTTACCCAAGTTCTCTAAGCTCCACAGTCCTTGCTCCCAAAAGTAAACCCTGTCCTGATCTCTTCCTGCTTGGGGTCAGCCTGGTGTCTGTGCTGGATTTGCTCCGTATTTTTCTCTATGCTGGGTCCTATGCCAACCAAGCCTGTTAAAGTTCTCATCAATGAAATGAAACACGATTCCTTCCATGGTTCCTCCTAATAGACTGCCCACATGTACTCCCATGTCTAATACAGGGCCTAGCCCAAAGGGCATTCAATACAGATCCATGAAACTGACCAGAAAGGGGCCCCCAGAGTTCAAAGCCAACAGGGTTGGAGAAGCCAATCATACAGCCAGTGAAATTGGTCTTTCTGCTTCTTAAAGGCATATTCCCCAAATCACCAAAGACTCAAACCTGAACAGCAACACATGACAGTTATCCACTGATGGGGAAGTACAAGTCCCTCAGAGTCCATAAGGTATACTTTTTCTTTTTAACAACAAAGCCTTTGCCAGAAGTTAGGCTAAAATGTCCCGTCCTTTCTCGGCCCTTGTCCAGACCGTCAAGCCGCCACTACCTCTGGCAAGCCTGGTATCACACAAGCCATAAGGTCCAAAGTGGACACACAAGCCATCCAATCTAGAAAGACACTAGGAGAGTTAGGGGTCCTGCTGCAAGACGAAGAATAGAAGGTTAAGAAAATTCAGAACAATGGAGGGTAAGAAGGGACTTCCCCCAGAGCTGGAGTTACACAGGTGTAAGCTGTCTCTCATGGGGGCTGGGGACCAAACCCCAGTCCTCTGCAAAAGCAGCAAGTGCTCTTAACCACTGAGTCATCTTTCCAGGCCCTTTATTTTGCTTTGCTTTGGCTGACCGGGAACTCACTCTGAAGCTCAGGGTCCTCCTGTTTCTGACTCCTAAGTACTGGGATTACAGACCACACACCTGCTGCCTACCGTGCGTTTACTAAAGATGGGACTTGACCCTGTAAAGATTTGGGTATTGATTAGGGGACAGTACTGGATGCAATCCCTCACAGACATGGGAATGACTGTCATTCACTTACTATTTGTTTAGAGACAGGGTCTTTGCATGTGGCCCAGACTAGCCTTGACCTCTCAGTCCTCCTCCCTCAGCCTCCCAAGGGTAAGATCACCAGCACGCAGCACCGTACCAAGCAACTGTAGTTGACTGAGCTCTACTATGTACAAGGTGCTGAGCAAGTATTTTACTAGCATTTTCCCACAGACTTGGAAGCCCAGGGAGGTAATGAAACTTGCCTCTTATCCACCTGAGCAGCAAGTAGTAGGATTAGAATTGGCCCTCTTAATTCTAGAAGCCATTATATCACCCCTCACCCCACAAACTTGCATGTGAGCTGTTTCGAGTGAATTTTGTTTGGCTTTGCAGACGTAGTACAATGTCTGCCTGAGGTCCCCAAAGTTCCTGAATGATCGAGTGACTGAATCAGCAAGCTGAGCAAATGGTTCTACCTGGAGAAGACGACAAGCCTGGCCCGAGACAGGCAGCAGCAGCAGCAGCAGCAGCAGCAGCAGCAGCAGCAGCACACAAGTGTTCTGCTCAGCAGCTGGGCCCCGGGGAGGGCCGGAGCCACCCAGCTGGCCTAGGCCCCAGCAGCCTGAGCCCAGGCTGACACACTTTGGCAAGGGAGGCCACCAGAGCTGTCACATCATTCAGCAGCATGCCCATCAAGTGTATTCAGTTCTCTTCAACCCGCATTGGCATTTTAATTACTGTTGGGTAAACTAATTTGTACAAA